AGACAACCTCTCGTCAATATGCGTTTTTCGCATTGCATTGCTGCAAAAAACGCATAAAAATGAAACGACAGTGTTTAGTCCGTTTTCAGATCGGCTGAAACAGCAGTTGGAAGAGGGAACCTACGAATGTATGATATGTTGTCAGGTCATCCGCGCCAATCAGGTCTTTTTTTGGTTGTAAAGTCAAGACCCCTTCCATTTTTCGCTCCTGATGAATGATTCGATATAACCCAAAAAACAGTAGTAATTAGTGAGCAGCAGAGGCTACCGATTCTGTGTGGCTTTCTTTTAAGACGTTAGAAAAGTAATAGCGAATTTCGTTAATTTTTTGATCAGTCACTTCCCTTTTATTTATCTAGGGTAAGTGTAAAACAAATGAAGAAGAGAAGGAAGGGAGGGCGGAAATTTGGAATTTTTTGAAACCGCAGGTTTTTTTTCTGAGTGGTTGGACAATCTGAGAATTGGTAAAAAGAATATCTTTGTTACAGTGGATCTGGACGTGCCAGCAGTGCTTTCACATGTTCCACATCAATCGTGGCAATACGTATGGTTGCATCACACAGTGGGCGGCCAAAAGTTTCGAGGATCATGTTGGTTGGCGATGCCCAAATTGCCAGAATATCACGCTTGAAATCCCGCGAGGCTACAAATGCTTCTGTGGCAAAACAGTGAATCCACCAACCCAGAGGTATTTTCCTTTTTTTTCTTCTGATTGTTTTTAGACTTCATTTATTTTACACATTCTTTATTTCTTTATTTCACACAGTTAGTACCCTATGCCTAGCTTACTCCGTTTTTTTGTGATCAGCCAATCTGAAGAAACATCCTCAGTTTACTTGATGTAACTTCTCCTGGATTGAGCAGAGGAACAACTTTGTTTTACTGTTGCAGCTAGTTCGGCTGATAACAATGTGTTTTCTTGCCTATTCAGAACTTATTCCCAACGAAACTGTCTGTCTTTGATCAGTTGCTGTTCCATCACGTTACTGTTCTCCACTGATACAGCTGATAACTTCTCCATTCTTCTCTGCTTTGAGCCTTCCTTCATAAAGCCGTTCAAATGACTCTTTCCCCCGTACTGATTGCTTCATACGTTCTTTCAACAGTTCGAAAAATTGCCGTGGTCCAATTATAATACTTTCTTGTGATTCTAGCATTCATAAAAAACTGCGATTCCTTTATTTTCCTTTTTTTTTCTAGTAGAAAATGGAGGAGTTTTGAGCACATCCTCTCTTGAACAGAGTAAATTGAAGAATTTGATGCCTTAAAAAGTAAGGTTTTTATTTAGATTTCCCGATATGCCACACTCTTGCAATAGTACTTGTGGAAAAAGTCGTGGTCCCGGATGTACTCATCCATGCACTGAACAGTGCCATCCTGGACCATGTCCTGAATGCCCGGTGATGACCACACGTCAGTGTAATTGTGGCCGAGAGAAGTTTGCGATTCGTTGCGGCAAAGAAATGGAGTTCAAGGTGAAATTTTCAGTTTTTCCTTTTTTTTTGAAAAACTTTTGATGTTTTTTTGACATTATAAATGTAAGGAAGAGAAATATTGAAAAATGGGTAAAGAATCCGCTGCTAAGCATTTCTGTAAGAAGCTGATCGAAACTTTTCCATGAGCGTTAACCTCTTTTCAGTTTATTTTTCATTTTTAACAATAAATAATTTAAGGTTTCTGCTTTTTTTTTTCTTATAATTGCCGTTGGGAAAAAGTAAAAGACCGCTGTGGCATTTCCCGAGAAAGTGGCATAACTGCAGAGTTTAGGCAATGGGGACAACCGAATATTCGTAGTATGTGTGCTTGAGATAATTTGATTAGTAATAAATTACACACTGGTTCTTTTTTCTCTGGAGCTGGTAACTTTTTAAGTTACTTTGATCTGTGTTTGATTCGATTTATGGTCAGCCTGCTGGTAATCCTAGCTTCGTTTCATCTCGTGCAGTTTGACTTTTTTTGCTATTAAAAATTGAATTTACGCGTATTTTCAGTGCACGCAAGTATGCGATAAAACCCTCAATTGTGGTTTGCATAAATGCGAGATCGTTTGTCACAAAGGCGATTGCATTCCATGTTTGCGAGTTATTAATCAAAGTTC